ATTTTACAACGTAAGAAACGTTCAATTAGTTTCAATTTTGAAGTTTCAATTGTTCAAAACTTCAAATAATAAATACTACGATAAATTAAATTCCAAAAAAAAAGAGCCAAATAGTTGATTGCACTTTAGGTGAAGATTGAAGAATGAGAGAATATGAGAATTGAGATTGAGAAATGAGAGATGGATGAAGAAATGAAGAAGAGGGGGGTGTATTTATAGTTTTACAAAGGGTTAAATTTGTAATTACAAAAAGTGTTAATTTTAAAAAAAAAAAAGTGGCCCAAAAAAGGGCTAATTGTGCAAATTAGCCATTGGGCAATGGCTCCTTGGCAGGTGACCGTTGCCAACGGTAACCAACATTTAAAAAAAAAAAAAACTAGCCGTTAACCGATCTGGTCCGGGCCGGTTTAACCGGTTCTACAGTATTTCTATTGACCGGGTTTGATCGGTCCGGTTAACCGGTTGAAAATAGGTGAACGGACCAACCCCCTTTCCCCTTTAACCCAGCCCCACCGGCCCCCTTGTACCAATCCGGGCCGGTTCCGATTTTAACCGGTCTGGGCCGGTCCGGTTACGGTTAAACCCGGCCCATTAGACACCCTTACTTAAGACTTAGGGTCCTATAGTCCTATAGGCATGATCTCTATATGATAGCAGTATCAAACAGGTAATGCTGCATTTTTTAGGCTAACGTACGGACAAATTAAATCGTTATAAGTCTTATAGACATGGTTTCTAAGTGGTTCTGATTTTTTAGCAATATATAGGCAACAGATTTGCATATTACAAACCTATAGGCATGATCTCTAGATTGTTGGCGCAAAGATGTAATGAAACGACCCCAGAATCATGAATTAACAACGCTAATTTTATAGACAAGTTCCTTAGGCAGGTGACAATGTCCTGGAGGCATGATATCTAGTTGTTGGCAACTGAAATTGATTTTATATAGTTTTATCCCTATAGGAATGCTATCTAAGCGAAGCAGTACAAACGATATGGAGCAGCTGATTGATTATTAGACCTTATATCCATGGTATCTATATAAGCAGTACACTAAAACAATTGAGGCAATTGATAGATTAATCATTCGAAGTCCTATAGGCATGGTACCTAGGTAAGTAAAAATATTGCTTTGTTGCGCCCTATAGACATGTTATCTAAGAGTGCACAATAGCGGAAACAGGTATAGCAAATACTTGAAATAGCATGTATTGGCAAGTTAGGTGATGTGTGTGCGTGTGACTCCTATAGGCAGGCTTTCTACACATGAAACTAAAAACATGTAGAGCAAATAGCGAATAGATTACATAGATCCTATAGGCATGCTTTCTAACCATTTATGTGAGAATTAGAGTACCCTATCCCTTTTTTACTAATTTCCCCATCTATTTTTGTTTATAAATTATTACAAACCCTAAAATAATGAATACAAGTGCGAATATTACATATTGAAAGACTACAGGCCCAATAAACAGAGCAGACCCAAAAAGAGAAATAATCCAGTAACATCTGGGCCTTTAGCAAGCTTCACCT